TATACAAAATAGGATAGATACACAGCTGTTTTCTCTTAGTTCAATGAGAAGAAAGATTTATAGTAATAGTGTTTAGACAAGATATCATGTCTGCATCTTGTACTATGAATAACTACTATGAAGACAACAATATGCAATGTATTAATTATTGTAACTGCCCTATTAACCTATTTTGAAACTCTCTCAATGCTATTTCTTTCTCAATAAAATTAATATTAAAAAATAAAAGCCATTTGGACTTGAGGTGCATCTGGGTACATAAAGGGATTTTTATTTTAGTTAAAAGCACCCAGTAGCCAATCAATTATTATTCCAAGTGGAAAGCATGCCCTGGCTGTTTGTACCTCTCTCCCTTGAGGAAGAGCCTTATGATCAAGGGAAAGAGAAAGCAAAAAGATCTTAACAATGAAAATCTTCATCACTTTCTATGACAGGATAAAAGAAGAGGCTTGGGCCCAAGCTTCTCTGTAAACTATGCTATCTAGTGTCTTTGTGTTTAGTCCTTAGTTCAGTTTAAAACAACAAGCTTAAATGAAAGTTTGTATATCCTTTTGTTGCTGCTTTCCTCTAGTGCCTGACATATAGGGCATTTTGAGAGAATTTCTATTTTGTTTCTGAAATAATGGAGCTGAAAGGTTTCTCTAAACCTTGATAGATTGCTTGGGTGAGATCAATGTACACTAGAGGTCAAGTGTGTAAGTAGTTTCAGTTGGCCTGCAGAGGACTGTCCAAATAGGCATGTGAGTTGGCCAGGTGTGGTCTTAGTATTTTTTTCTCTGTGAACCATAACCTTACACCTGTAGTTAACCCCGATATAGAAGTTTTATGTTTGTATTTCCATTCCTTCAGGCTACAATCTTCATTCCTTTTAAGTATCTGTAATTTTAAACTAAATAATGACTTTTTTAAATGATAGTTTAGTACAATGTGCCCTTCAGTTGTAAGTAAGACTAATTGAATTACTCATTCCTTCACCTCCAATAACTCTATTTTGTAAGCTGATGGTAAGTAATGACATGAAAGATTTCTATAGGTTTCCATAATAACAAGATCAAGTTTATCTAGGAAAATCAGAATTAAAAATTACAACCTTTCAAATGAAAATAGCACTCTAAAAATGTTGAACCAACTAAGACACCCACAGAAAAGGTAATCTAGGCATTGGTTTGTTGCCACACTAGGAAGCCTAAAGGATTGGAAGGCCAGGCTTACTAGTTCATCCAGCTGCAGTCACTATTTTTTTCCTTTTTGAGTGCTCTTGCATCGTCCCTTTTTCATTTTTTCTAAGATCATTTAGATCTCAAAGGAAGATGATCAATGAATTTCCCTTTAGCGTTGAAAGGATTTCTGAACATTATGAGTGACTTTTTTTCCTTTCGCAATAGGACAAGTGCAGCTGCCACATTTCACTTCATTTTGTGTCTTTTTCATCTGTCAGGCAGATGGCTGTAATGCCTTAAGTGTCCTGCTAATTTTCTACTCTTTATCCTTAGTCAAGTAGCCTGTGGTGCTCAATTCTTTCCTTAGGATTATGTCTCTATTTTTCTAGATTTCAGAGTAGAAAGAGAGCCTTTCTTTGCATTGCATGCTTTTCACAGTCACAATACCAATTGCATTGCGTCCAGAGGTAATAATTAAGTTGGTAAAGGATTTTGGTAGTTTAGTGTTCCATTTACTAAAGCCTCAAGAAATATTCTAGGTTATGAGAACAAACAATATACAGTAATCCTAGACTTCTTGTATTATTTTTCTTTCTTTTTTTATTATCAGGAATCTAACTCAGGATCTTGCACTTACCAAGCAGGTGCCATGCCACTGAGCTGCATCCATGATCCTACATTACTTTCTTGATATAAGCAACATTATCAAATTCAAGAATGACTTATGATCTTTATCAATATATTTAACATATGAAATACTTTGTATGTTCCTATTATATGCGAAAATTGGCCTGTTATACCCTGGTTCTATATGTAATTGACCTCTACTTCCTAGGATGATCGCAATTTTGTCACAATTTCAAGCAACTTTGTGGGTTAATTTTTCTTAGAATTTATAGTCTAGTTGTTAGAAGCATGGGTTTTGGTCAAATTAGAATTGAAATTTTGGTTTAGTCACTTATATCTCTGTGATTTTGAACTCTGGGAACAGAAGTTTGCTCATGTTCATAAAATAAGGATGATAATGGTACAGCCTCTATAAAGATTAATAAGAAAATCAAGAGTAACAACAGTATCACTTAATATTGCTACCAAATCTTGTTATTGCTCTTAATACAATTTCTGGAACTCACATCTTGAAAACTATGACAACAGGTGGAAGGAATATTTATACTATTTCAAAGTATGTTTTCAGGAGATACTTATGTTATATAAATGTTGCATTTTCTAGTCCCATCTGGTTTCAAAAATCTTTGAATAAAGAATAATAAAAATTGTTACTTACCTAATTCACAATTCTGCCCTTCAAATCCAAGTCGACACCAACATTCATAGGCATTAATGTCATCCTTACAGCTGCCACCATTTAGACATGGATTGGACTCACACTGATCTCCATCTTTGAGATAGGTTAGGAAAGTGAATTATCAGATCAGTTGCTCAGAATGTCCAGTCTTCTCTTTCATAGAGTTATGGGAAAGGGAAATCTGCATGGGGTTAAAGCAGAACTACTGACCTGGAGGTCAATTGCCCATAGGAAGTGATTTCCCTGTCTTCCTGAGTTTCTAAAATTCACCCCAGCCAAGGTTGTAGAGCAAACAGTATCAGAGCAAAGAGCCTCTAGGAAGATATGTCGATAATTCATGCAATCAAAGGGAAAAGGAATAAGAATATCTTTGAATAGAAATGCAGCATATGAGCACATGGTCAAGACCTTCAATCCTTTAGAGAACAATGCAGAGATAATTCTAAATCAGATCACTTCAAGCAACATTATCTATATGTCATATAAGACTTACTTTATTACAAGCATTGCAGAACAACCTGAGCTGGAAGAGAAATGATACTTCCACTCAAGGTACTCATGGTGTGAGCATGGAGCAAATGTGTACACTTCTATGTGGCATCATTTAATGTTTGTCATGTGCTATAAGTGCTGAAGACAATAGACAAGATGCCAGAGGTAATGTGTTTTTGCTTTGAGATAGTTTCCTGTCTACAAATTATCTTTCAAGTGGTCTAGATGAAGTGAGACATAATGCTCAAAAGATCATAAGAAATTTAAAAAGATTCTGTGTTGTGCTTTATTTATGGAGTGGCTGTTTTTATTTTCCCTTTTCTGAAGTTTCCACGTTTACAGAGTTCCTGAAGGCCTTTGAAGAAATGGGTAGTAATCAAGGAAGAGAAAGGAATAAAGAAGAGGAAGGTCAAGGTGAAAAAAGAACCTTTGAGTCTGATTTTTTAGTTTTCTAACTTAACTCATACTTCTAAGGAATCTCCAGGACAAGAGAATGGGTACAACCAGAAGGGAGAGTGGTACACACTTTGAGCTATGAAAAACAACCCTGATGTAAAAACAGCTCCCATTTTCAATAAGACTTGGTAAGTGAGAGAGAAAAGAGTAAGAGATAAAAAAGGTGGTAAGAATAAAAAAAGACAATAGGGGAAACCAAAGGAAAATTTCTACTTATTAATCTTACAAAAACCCCTCTTTGATATCTAGTGTGTATATGTCTGCCTGTCTTCCCTCTTTGCCAGAAGCATGTATTCAGGCTCTATTGACTAAGAGAATAATATCCTTTTCTGAGAAATACACTCTCTGTGGAAAATCTGCTTGCTGTAAAAATTAGACCTTGTCCCCTCTGGCCCTTGATCCAATGTGCTTTTGTGCAGATACTTTAATTTATTCCAATTCTATGAAAACAAAATACATTATCTCTGGTTTATTATTATTGATGTTCAGAACTGGTCTAAAAATGAACTACATTTGCACTTTATATTATAGACCAACAATTCTGAATTATTTAGGATGTTTCATTGAAAGGGTCTGGGCTTGCAGCCAGCTACACAGGAACTCATTTGCTGAAACATATCTTTAAAATGAGTGTCATTTTACCCTGCATTTAGTCCTCCTTTGGGTTCTTGTCTGTGTGTACTTTTGGTTGAGACAAAGCCATGGTCAGCATGGGTCAAAAACAACAAAAGACAGGACCTTGCCAAGTGAGAGATTTCCATTTAAAACTGCTAGGTTCTTGTTTAATCAGCAACTGTGTTTAGATTGGAAGGCAAGGGGTTGGGTAGTAGAGATCTTGGGTTCTCTTCTGGGCTTTGCTTCCCAGCTGAGTGATGTTTGGCAAGACAATTAACCTTGCTAAGCCTCAGTTTGTTCTCTTCAAAATGGAATTCATTATGTTTTCCTCACAAGGATAGTGTGAGGGTACAATATGATAGTCATTCTAGAAACTTCTGTAAAAGGCACCTTGAGAAGTGCCAAACAGACACTAGGTAGTGTGCTTGGGTGATGATTTTTCAGCCAGGCTCTTTGAATGATGAGTCAGGGGTAGAGAGTAGGACAATGGAGAGGAGCCTAGGAACCCACACTGTGTGCAAGATAGCATAGGTAATTTTATGATGGTTAGGAATTTTTACAGCCAGGGAAAGGAAACATTGAGTGTGTTTCCTTGGTGGTCTGTTCTTGTTGCTTTATTTTTGATATGCAAAGCAGCAGTGTCATAAGTCTTTCCTTGGTATTTCCCAGGTATCCACACCCAAAGTATAGGAACTTATACATCTATATGAATGCCTAGGCAAGGGCCGAATTTATAATATGTTACTAGGGCTGGGATGTTTGGAGGATAGGCACTGAAGGGGTCATGGAAATTTAAATGCATCCAGCAACATTATGTTTGGAAAAGTAGACATTAATTTGCTTTTAAAAATAAGTCATGAGATTCAAATACTTAAATTCAGTAGCAATAGAGAATTTTTTACAAATTGGAAGAATTTTAAGTGTTCAATAGAAATAGGCATGGTAATATTCCTTTATAAGAACAAGGAAAGGTAGATAAAACAATATAATCGAGAAGATCACTTTTTTTCTCTCCTGGATTAAAAACAAAAATGGAATACCATGAGTTATAAAGGTATGAGAATGTCGCATAGTGTCTCTAGGACAGGAACTGTAGAACATAGAATTGGACCTCAAACTGGTGGAAGTCAGTGAATTTGGTATCCAGGTTAATTTGTTTCCATCCTTCCAGATGGTGTTAGGCATGCTAACCTGTAAGACTTCCCTCAAAGTCCTATTGCTACATTTGAAATTAGTTTTGAAATTAGTTGTCAACCACTATTGAATACCTTAAAAATAATAAAATAAAATAAAACAAATTGACATTAAAATTTGACTTTTCCTCTTTTTAGGCACCTTATTGGACACATATTCACTAAGTGGCTCTGTTGCAGATGTTGCAAGTGCCAGGAATCCACTAAGAAATGAAATAATTGATTCCCTGACAAAATGGAACCTATATTCTAGTAAGGCTGAGAAAATCAGTGATAAATTGTACAAGAGAAGATGCTATGATACATCAGATGATAAAAAGTGCTGAAACTTGAGCATCCTTAATGAATACTCAAATAAAAATTGCTCCAAAATTCAGATCTTTGAAAAGCAATATCATACCATACCATGAAAGTTGGTTTCATGTACAAAATTACTGAAAATATTATATGAAATTACCTTTAAGCTATTCATATAAATTGTGTATGAAACATAAATGAGTCTTACATTCAGACTAGAGTCCCATCTCTAAAACATATATTGCACTTCTAACAGTTTGGGGATAGGATATTGCACAAAGTTCTAGTGTGTTGTGGATGTGGATAATGTCCATGACACTTACTGGTGCCCAGGTGGCACTTGTGGGACTGAGCTAATGCTATTTCCTTGAATTCCACCCTGTAGACACAGATGGAATCATGATCCATAGTGTACAGGAGAAGTCCATTTGTAGAGTATGTTGATGGAAATATTTTGCTGCTGTATACAAAAGAATAACTGAAAGACTACTTTCGTACACCTCTTATTCTCCTATGCTTAATTGTTTGCCCTATTTAGTGGGTTCTTTCCATTCTCATTCATGGAGTTGTGATCATTTTGCTCCCTCTCTAGAACATCATTTAATAGTCTGTATAGGCTTGGCTTTGTCACCATGAAATTCTTAAGTTGTTCTTTGTCATGGAAATATTTCACTTCTCCATTATACTTGAGAGTTTTGCAGGGTATATTAGTCTGGGTTGGACTGTTAGAAGTGCTGGTCATTTATTTGCCATTC